CTCCGGGCTGTCCCTGAAATAAAATCACTCCTCAGCTCGTCGCTCGTACGGATCCATCAGGAGGAGGAACGGGGACGAGGCGCTTTACGTCAGCGCGTCTGATAAATATTCAGCCCGGCGCCAGTTAGTCTAACGGACGGCGGGTTTAGGTCTCGTGTCATCGGATGGACACCGCCGTGACATTTGACTGCTTCAGGTGAGCACCAGGTACGCTGATGATGTCACCAGGCGCCCCTCTGCAGCCTCCACGTGCACGCTCGTCAGGGTCTTTGTGGCCTGTGGTCATGTTTTCGGTCAGGCTGTGAGCTAAACGCTGCAGCAGACGGATCGCCACGGCGATGAACGTAGCAGTCACAGCGGTCCGTCAGATCGTTGCGGTTGCAGGGAGGTCGCCGTCCTCTTTTTGGTCTAGTGTGACCGAAGCTCCCCAAGCCCCGCCCACAATCGAGCCTCTGTCATTACTATTATCTTTATGGCCGAGTCTAATTCCTGCACGCGCTGTCAGGTCTGACAGTGAGACTGAACAGACTGAAACAAAACGCACAGTCTGAAAAAAATACCCACAAACCCACGGGAGGAACGCCGGCGTCCAGGAACTGTGGAGTGGACACGCAGCACACAGACGAGAGGGTCAGCGGCTGCAGTGGGAGGGTTCAAACTGGAGCTGAGTGCTGGTGATTAGGAAGGAGAGCTGATAATTGTGGATGAGAGTCGTCATTGACGATGAGAGCGGCGGCTGAGAGGGGGACTGGGAGCGTAATGGATGGAGGACGGCGGCAGGTCTGGAACCATTACAGACGATCTCCCTGCTGTGTGGGAACCAGCTCTAAACGCCACGGAGAAAAACTCCTGAAGTGTTTGACAGCAACGCATTTTTAATGTTTCCACTTTTATCACCGCGAGCGCCGCAGAGCCCGAGAGCGCCGCAGAGCCCGAGAGCGAAAGCCCGTCAGCTTTCATCTGAGCGAATAACGCGCTCAGGATACGCCGCGCTCGCCTCATCAGGCTGCTGATGGCCTCCTGACAGCGTGCCTTCACACAGAGCTCATGTGAAAAATAACATCGCAGCATCGGCACAGAGGTCAGAGGTCACGAGGGCCTCAAACCCAAAGATGTGAATCCAGAATAATAAAGTTGCACCTGATCGTGTTTAAAGGAGGCGTGGAGAAGGAAATCAAACACCTTTAAACCCCGCCCACACATGCACAGATCACCTGCAGCTGATGGCTGTTTGCACAGGTGTCCACCCTCCCTCCTCTCACACCAGCAGAGGTCACGTGAGGAAATAATAGCGTGTTAATAAGAAGGCCGTCCAAAACCAAACGGACCCTGAGGGCGGCGGGAAGCGTGGCGTGCTCCCGACGGCTGCGTTAGGTTACTCACAGTCACTCAGACGCCGCTGCAGGTACGGCGAACTTTAAGCCTACGACGGATAACCTCTGACCCCTAACCCAAGGTTTTGCAGCGTTCCATCAAAGTCATGTGACCTGTCTGAAGTCAAAGGCTGTGTTCTCTCTTACTTGTCCTCCTGGTGAAGCTCCTCCCCCTCGCTGAGCTCCTCGTCATCCACCAGGTGTCCAAACGGCTCCGAGGAGATGGACACCATGTTGGAGAGGATGAGGCGGCTGTCGCTGCTCGCCGTCAACACCAGCTGGTCGTGGCTGTGGTTGTAGCGGACGCTCCAAACCCTGAGGCCACACCCAC